GTATTGCATGGGTTGACCATAGCGAGGGCGAGGTGCGCCTCGGGAAGAATTTCCCTGATGGTTAGACTTGCGTTTCTTGTATTCTTCGGTAGCCTCTTTTCTGGCATCCTCAAGTAGAAGTGCCTTGTTGATCATATGTTGAAAAGTGGGGAAGTCATGAGCAAGCAACTGGAGTCTCATTCCTACTGCGATTCCCTTCAAGAACTTCCTGATCTTCTTCTTGTCTGTGTCCACTTCCTCAGGGGCGTACCGAGCCAACTTGTTGAACATACTTAGGTACTCATTGACACTGTTGTTGCCTTGCTTAAGTCTGTTGAATTCCTCTTTCTTCATATCAATGGTGCTTTCAGGCACATGAGCTGCACGGAAAGCCGTAGCAAACTCATCCCAAGCAATGTTAGTGGGTTCAGGGTGTGCATTGCAGTAATTCTCCCACCAATCTGCAGCAGGTCCTTTTAGCTGGTGAGAGGCGTAGAGCGTCTTCTCAACAGGAGTACACTGCACTAAGTTGAGTTTTCTATCAACATCTTTCAGCCAATCGTCAGCCTCGACGGGCTCGACGGTCTGAGAGAACTCTGGCGGACGAGACCTCAGAAAGTCTGTTAGATTGGATCTATTGTTGCCCATGTGAGGGTGGCCATTTCCATGCGCATTGTGCTGATAACCGGCTACGGCTGCGGCTAATCCTTGCAAGATTTGTGTCTGAACTGCCATTAAGTGTTGCATGTTGTTTTCCACATGAGGTGGGGAAGGGAGGCGTTCTTCTCCAGAATTGTGACTGGCAGTGCGGTGAGAGCGGTGAGACTGTTCCATCTCTGCATTACGGGAAGCTGTGTGATGCGAGCGGTTGCTGCGGCGGGGTTGCTCAACTTCTGCGTTGCGGGAAGTAGTACGGTGCGAACGGTTGCTGTGGTGAGACTGCTCATTAGCTGACTCATGATTTGCTTCTGGCTCAACTCTACCTTCCTCAAAACCAAAGCGGGCTGGTGCACGAGCAGCACGGCGGGGGCGGCTAGCCATCTAAACTCCCAGATGAGGGCGAGGTAAGAATCAGATAAGCACTTAGGAGGGCAAGGAGCAAAGTAAATAGCAACTCAGATAGCACACACTAGGCATAAACTGGATTTTTCAAATCATAAAAACACCTAATACAACGGGTGTGGACAAGTCACAGAGCTACGCCGAGCTTGACTGTGCGCACACCACCTAGGAGAACCGGACTACCAAACAACACCCACATCAAACACACGCACGCACTACCTCGCCACGACTCCAAAAGAGTTGGCGGCGGAACAAAAGGGCCTAACACACGGACGGCTGCTGAAGACTGCCTCCTCTACTCCTCGTCTGCCTGGCTGCCTCCTGTAGTCGGCTCCTCAGTCGAAGAAACGTCGATCGGCTGACGCGAAGGGACCGGCGGAACCTGTCGAGGGCCGACAGCAGCACGGGCCGCTGGCGGTGTGGGAGCTGGGTAGTCGAAACGGAACACGGTGGAAGAACCAACAACACGCTTCCGCGCAGTGCGGATAAAGCGTGGGCCACGGTGGGAGGAAGCAACTGGGGTGTGTCCAGGGGTGTAGGAGGGGCTAACTGGGTGAGGGTAGGGGGAGTACACTGGTGAGTACGGCGCACGCGAGCTGGGGGAGCGCAGGCCACTGGGAGTGCGAGCAGAGCCGCGGGAGCTGTGGGAGGACAGGTGGCTGGCGTGGTAGAGGCGACCTGAGTCCCAAGAGACAGTGTCAACTGAGGTGACACCCTCCTCGGCCAGACGGGCCTCCAGAGCGGCGTAGCGGCGGGCAAGGGAGCGGTAAGCCTCAAGGAGTAGGTCGTGCTGAGTGGCCTGAGCCTCCGAAAGCTCAACCATGCGAGTCAGCACTGGCTGAAACTCACTGTAAGGACAAGGGTACCTGGCGTTTGCGTGGCCAGAAGGAAGGCGTGGAAGCTGCCGGAAGGCAGAGCCCCCGAGACGGTGGCTGTAGTCGTAGGCCAAGCGACGAAGCGCAGTCCAGGAGAGGTCCTGGCACGCGATCTGGAGAGTGGGCCTGGCCACAGTGAAGTGGTGTGGGCGAAGGCCAGCTCCGTGTATACCTCCACGAGGGTAAAGGTACACAGAGAGCTCACAGCGAGGGGGAACACGGTCCACGGAGTACCCCGTGTACTCGGGACACGAGAAGCCAAGGAAGCGGGCGAGGTCTCGAAGCTGAGCGACATGGTGACCCTCACCAAAACCGTGGGAACTGAAGCTGGCGTTCACTGCCATCTACAATTTTGAAAGAGGGAGAAAAGATCAGTAACCATTTTAGAAACAAACTATTGAAAATAAGGAAACCAAAAAAAGCCTTAGCTTTTCGCAAGTAGTTTTGAACTTAGTACCCTTAGGGTCGTCCTAAACGTCGGGTTTCGCCCTAGGGGCAAGCCTGTGCTCTGATACCATCTCTTGTCACGCCCCTAACTAGTCCCGACCGGAACTAGCCCGTGACGCTCCAAATTAACCTGTTAATCTATACCAGTCCTAGGAAACAGTGCTGGTATCACAGGAAGACAGAATATCACAGCAACAGAGGTCTCTTTATTATAGAGTAGAGGTACAGTCATGTTGGGCTGCGGACAGATCCCGAGCTCACAACTGCATTTCAAAAGGGAAGCGGAAGCCAAGACTCGGACCAAACAACACAGGCGCGACTTGGGAACTAGGCCGAAACCCTAAAACTCATCGTAGCGGGATCCGCTTCATCTTCTTCAGCAACTGGGGGGGATTATTTATATAGAGCAAGGGTGAGTACGGGAGTACTCAGCAAGCCATAGGAAATAAGTGTTTAATGCAAGCTTCAAGGAAAGGCTGTTGTTTTTGCAATTGATTTTATTTGATCTCTTTTCTGAAAACAACTAAGTGAGTGCTTCTCAAACGACACGGATGAGACAGTGCGTCTCGTCCGGTCGGAGTATGTGCAATGTATCAGTCTTTTGAATTGATCAAGATTGGCACCCGGCCAACAATTTTCAAACGGCCACCCGGGCCAACAACTTTCAAACGGCCTCCCGGGCCTAGCTGATCCCATCAGCTGCAGATTTTCCAAACATCGATCCCCTTTCCACAACAGCAATTTCACAAGCAGTAGTCAAACAAAACTATGCTAGGAATCACCTCACATCCGCCCATGACCGTGGGCACGGCTGTTCGAACAGTTTGTTAACCTCTGCAGAGGGGGTACACTTTACCCACACGACATTACTAACCCGGATCACCCAGCCCGTGGGGATCAGCCACGTCGGGAGACCTCCAAGCTTTCATGACAAGGCATTTCCAAAGCCGACACAGGTTTACCATATGCCGACGAGAGGGGTCCCAGACCAACAACAGGTTAGGTCCCATACCATACTGTGCCAGGAAGCCCAGGGGTCCTCCCCGACACTACCCCGGCGAATCCACATGTCTCTCGGCATCAAGGCTCCCCTGATAAGCTAGTTACTCAGCCAGGGGTGTCCCATTCCACCCATGTGGTCGTACTTGTCTTATGTTCGGATGAAATTCCAAGGAAACGGTCCTTAGGTGCAAGAGCGGGAAACCGTACACCCGGTACGTTCCCCGGTCCGCGGTTTTGGAAAATTCATTTAGTTCGCAAGCACCGACCCAGGTGTCGGGTTTTCCAAGTCTTTTGTAAAACCCAAGTTTTACCCAAGATGTTTATCATATTTTAAGTTTGAAGGCGACCGTCGATACTCGTGCAGAGTGCACGATTTCCGAGGCGCAACTGGGTGGTTACAAGGGAACATGGTATAACAATTAACGAAGGAAGGATCAAATGCAACAAATTAGGTAGGCTGCCATTCTGCCTTGCAGACGGGACAAACAGATTAAGTGCGATCCTATTAATGCATAATATTTTTCAAGCAACATAATTAAGTTCAAATATAGGCTCAAGATGTTCAAAGGTGGCTTGCCTTGCTCGAGATCTTGAGCTTGATCCTCGAAATCCTTGGACTGCGGGTCTTCGGGTGTATAGGAATCAGGAGATCAGGAATTCTGGACCGTATAGAAATCGTACGACGTCGCCCGTTCCCGAGTGATCAAACGTTCACGAAACTCCGCATAAAACTGACCAAGTCGTATCGATCTTCCAGGGCGCGCGGAAAACGAATTAAGCATGCCAGCTGCGACGACGATTCAGATGGAAGCGTCGCCGGCAGACCATTGGTCTCCCCGTCATCGCCGGCGGTGCGGTTGCCATGGTGTAAACTGGTGCCGTGTCGTGAGCACTGCCATCGTACTCCTGTTCGTTGGCCTCGCTGTCGGCGGGTTGTTTTACCTCATAGCTGTGTCCACCAGGGATCTGGTTTACTCCGCCTCGATCGACGCCGTCTCCGGCCTCGATCTCGACCACCCGACGCTGGACCCGGTGTTCAACCTCACAGTCCGCCTCTCCTCGCAGAACCAGGTGACCAACTACCCAAACTGCATCTGGCCTGGTACAACCGTGGAGGTCACCTACCGCGGCGTCCAGCTCGCCATCGGGTCCGTGGAGCAGCTCTGCGTCGGGGCGCGGGAGACGAAGGAGCAGCACGTCGTCGCGTGGGGCGCCGGCGTGCGCTTGCCGGGCTCCGCGCTGGACGCGCTCGCGGCGGACGCGCGGCGCGGGGCGGAGGCGTTCGACGTCGCGGTGAAGATCCCGACCGTCATCCACAGTGGCTACCACAGCTACGACCCCCGCCACGTCCACCTGGGGACGCTTGTGTCGTGCATGTCGAGGCGGGTCGGGGACGACCCCGTCGCCGCGCTGAGGACTCCGTGCCATGCGTCCAGTACGGACATCGCTGCGTCATACCCAAACAAGGGGAGGACGCAGCCTGGGGGTGCCAGTTAACGTGCGTGAATATGCAATCCGCCCGTCATGTGGTAGTGAGCGAGACCAGTTTCTACGTTACTAGAATATAATAGAGTTCAGTTTTTTTTTGGGTCAATATATATTTTGTGGTGCATGAATTATACATATATAGCCGAGGAATCAATAATAGATCATGATATAAAACAACAGTCCATAATGTCCATTGCTGTACACTCTATTATGCAATTTTGTTGCTAATTTCCCGATCCGTTGAGCATGCCTTCTTGTACAAAAGGGAGAGACACACCAGTCGTCACATCATCACCGTTTCAGGCACACGCCAATCCGCGAGCCTGACGCTCCGATCGAGCACGAAACATATAGTCGTACACAATTAACGCAGCTAGCCAACTAATGAAACGCATAAAACTTGGGGGGAAAAATCATATGGACGATCCACGAGGGCGCTCAAAATCGACCTTCGTCGTCCATCTCACGCTCGACCGCCGCGTCCTCCACCGTGTCGCCAATGTACAAGTACGGGTTCTTCGCCACCGGCTGGAAGTTGTAGAAAACGAACAGGTAGAAGGCGAGGCTGGCGGCCTCGATGGCCACGTTGACGCCCCACTGGTACTTGTAGCTGAGCAAGGCGAGGAACGCCGACGCGATGATCCGGGTGAAGTAGAGGTAGCCGACGACGACGAGGTAGAAGCGCTTGAACAGCGTGAGCTTCTGGAGGTTGAGCGCCGCCTTGCCATCGGTCTTGGATGCCTCGCGCATGCTGCGGATCGACCAGATGATCGGGAAGAACACGGCGCAGCAGCAGATGACGTCCACCAGCAGGAACACCTGGTTCCACACGACCCAGTCCTGCCCCGTCGGCCCCGTCTCCCCGATCACCACCAGCAACAGGTTCTCGACCACTTGCAGCGGGATCACGATCATAAGCATGTTCTTCTCCCTCTCCTGGAACGAGTAATTCGCAATAATTCTGTAAAAATGGAAAATTCTATAGCCTGGAATTCTAGGTTCGTTAATGGCGAGAGAGAGTAATTAAGATCAATGGTGATCACCTGGAGGTAGGGCTTGAGGATGGACCAGCCGGTGCCGATGAGGATGATGACGGTGAAGAGCAGGACGCCCTTGAAGAAGCCGAAGACGTAGAACGCCACGTCCCAGCCGTGCGGCGTGCCGGTGCGCTCCACGTACCACGAGTCCTCCGCCGCGCACGCCATCTTGAGCGCCTTGAACAGCAGCAGCGCGCCCATGACGGCGTGGATCCGCTCCACCGTCGCGCGGTGCCGCACGCACACGCACGCCCACAGCGCCAGGAACGCGAAGTACACCTCCGACACGACCGTGTAGATGGTCGGCAGCGGCCGCAGGCCCACGGGTAGGTAGTCCCTGGGCCCGTCGGAGATGCCGTCCCGCACGTTGTACATCTCGGTGTACACGTCGACGGTGACCTCCACGCCGTCCTGGCAGTTGCTGAACACGACGGCGTACTGGTCTGGGTCGTCGATGCTCACGGTGGTGGTGACGCCGCCGGGCGGGACGTCGCCGAGCCGGAGCACCGGGAGGGCGTACTCGCTCGTCAGCACGCAGTAACTGCCCCCGCCGTCGTCGCCGTTGTCCCCCGGGTCGGCGGCCGCGTACGCGGACGCGTTGTTGATCTTCGGGAACTGGGTTCCGGAGATGAGGACGAACCCCATGAGGCTGGGGTCAACCGCGGTGCGCCGTGACCCCCGCCGGAGATTCCAAAACGAGCGGCGTATGGAGATGGTCGCCTTCCCGCCACGCTCGAAGCCAAACTGCTCGAACAGAATGAGAGGCCGAGCGTCCGACACGATGAGCGTCGTCCTGATCTCGGCATCGGCGCCCCGCACGAGGAGCAGCAGCACGACGGCGGCGGCTGCGACGGCGATGGAGAGGGAGGTGTCCATGGACCTTGCCGGCGATCGTACGTGCATGTCGTCCAACGCTGCGGATTAGCCGTTCTGCTTGTTGCATCGATCTTAATCTGCCCTTCCCGATGCAGAAATCGCACCATGCATCGATCTTAATCTACCGTGCAGGAGGAGGAGGAGGAGGAGGAGGGGCGGCAATGGAAATGGACAGGCGGTTCGTCGATGACCATGGCGTGTTTTAGGGATGGCCATGAGAGGAGAGCGAACGGAGAAGGGCGACGTGTTGTTTCTCTCCCGTTTTTGCAATGCCACGGCGGCCATGGTGGGCACATTTGGTACGGTGCTCCCGCGTGCATGGTAAATGGGCCTCATGTGATTTGGGCTGGGCGCCTGGGCAGTATATGGGCTTGATGGGCTGGGTGTAATATTTCTTCAGCGCACACCTTCTAATTTCAATTGCCTTATTCAAAATTTTCCACTTATCGGGAACACCTTTGCATATTTTCTACTTACTCCATTATTAAATCGCTGTAACATATGCATTATTCCCCACCATCCATAGGCACATCGTCGTTTTTAAACTTCTCTGTACCCATGACGGGGCATACGATCTGTCTGCTTTACGATTCTAGCTTCTCTTTAAGCTAAATTACTTTATATTTACAACTTTCTTTTAGAGAATTTTTCTATTTACTTTCATGTTCCCTAGCTGGAATCCTATTTTGTGCTGTTTTCCACTGCATTCCGTCCTACTATATGTAAAGCGGAATATGTCTGTCTAGAGCTCTAGGGTTCTTTTTTATGTCTTGGGCCACCAATGAATTGTTTACGCATATATGTATGTGTAGATTCTTGAGTACATCCAGAAGAGTGTAGAGATGCTCAGAAATGTAATGGATTCCTTTTGGCTTTGGCTCTAAGATTGTAGTAAAAGAGAATCCATTATATTACATGCGGGATAGAGATTAATTAACTCGATCATCAACATAGGATAAAGAGGCGCAAATATACCGTTTTATATTAAAGCCAAAACATAACCTACCAAAATTTTGGTGACTTAAGTAGTAAAATAAAGGAAAAACTAAGGAGTTATTTAGTATGGAAATCCTACAAGGAAAAAAAAACTAGAAATTGCTACTCCCTCCGTACTAAAATATAAGTGTTTTTGGATGGATGAGATACATCATAGTACTACGAATCTAGATAGTCTCTTGTCCAAATTCGTAGTAATATGATGTGTCACATCTACTCAAAAGCCCTTTGTGTCTCGAAATTCCTATGTTTTTCATATAGTGCTATCAAAAAACATTTTCACAATCTTGTGGATTTACTTTCTATAGTATTTAATGAGGTGTGGCATCCTATTTTACAAATTTGTGTATTTACTTTCCATATTATTCACTGAGGTGTGGCATCATGTTCTTGTATTTTCTAAATCCTGATTTTCAAATACCTGAATGTATACTCTTGGAGCTTAATTTGCTCTAAGGCCCCCGCGTCGCCTCCCGCTCGGGCGACTCGGGCGGCGACCCAAGCCACCGCCGCCGCCGTTCTTCCCCCCTCCCCTCTGCCTCGCCGCCGCCTGAGCAAACGGCCGGCAAAGCCATCAGCTTGCTAGGATGGTGGCGGCGGGGCTCGTGGCGGCGGCCACCCTAGATCCGGCGCGGGCGAATCTGAGGGTGGAGGCCGGCCGGAGCGGCGCTGTCGTCGAGGCCGGAGGCGTGCAGGGCGCGCGGGCGACGGCGGCAGGTGGTCGTGGTGGCGACAGGCGGCGCAGGGGCGCGGGGTTGGCGGCGGTAGGTGGAGGCAGAGACTGGCGGTGGGATGTGGGCCACGGTGGTGAAGGCGGCGGCAGGCGGAGGCGGCGGGGTGTGGGCCGCGGTGGTGAAGGCAGCGGTGGCGGAGTCTACGACCTCGGGCATCACCGGATCCGCGTCGACCATTGCCGGATCTGGAGCTAGGTGCGGGAGGGGAGGCGGGTGGCAGCGGGGATGCGGTGGCAGCGGGGATGCAGGCGGCAGCGGGAGCATAGGAGGCGTGGCTCTGGTGGTGGTGGCGCGTGGAGGAGCGTGGAGGCGAGGCCGGTGGTGTGGAGGCCGGCGCGGCCCGTGGAGATGCGGCCGGCGGCGTGGCGTGGAGGCCGGCTCGGCAGCGTGGAGTCGGGTGCGTCACGTGGAGTGTGGAGGCCGGCTCGGCAGCGTGGAGACGCGACTGGCAGCGGGAGGCCGGTGCGGCATGTAGAGGCGCGGCCGGCGGCGTGGAGGCTGGCGACGGCGCGTGGTTGTGCGGCCGGCGATGGCAGAGGCCGGTGCAGCACGTGGAAGCGCGGCCGGCGGCATGGATGGCTAGCCGAGCTTCGACGACCGGTCCCTTGGCCGCCTTGGCTGGTTCTAGTCGGTGCAGCAGGGGAATGTGGGCGACGATAGGTTGAGTCGAGGGTTGAATGCTTGTGAGACGTCGTGGACTATCGTGTGGCCGTCGATGTGGGGGGCTTGTGTGGGTAATGTGTAGACGCCGGTGAAAGCCTTGCCGTGCCTTTGGCCGGTTCGATGACGACGACGCCGTTGGCGCCGTTTCCCTTCTTGAAGGCGTTGTCATGGCGCTCTGCCATTTGCCCCACAAATCTCCAGGTGAAAACCTTGCTCCGGCCTCGGACGAGCGGTGACGACGTTACGCGTCGTGTCCTTCTTGGGGGCATCGCTTCGGGAAAGTTCCTTACATCGATGACTATTGATGGTCCCTTCGGCTCAAAAGCTTTCTTTCCTTGGCATTCGGCGAGGCCTAAGCCTCTTGGGTCTGCTTCGTTCTATGATGGACGACACACTCTTCGGTTGCTTCTGCGGATGAAGTTGGAGCTGCTCGCTGTTGGGGTGCGGCGACGCTTGGCAACGATGACGTGTTGTAGTCTCTTCCAAAGAGTTGGTGCTGGCCATGTGGAGGAAGTGGCTCTTTGGTGGCTTGGCTGATGTCCATTGTGGATGTCGGAGCTGCTTTCGCTTTGGCGACTTTTGTGGCTTCAGTGTCGCTGCAGTGGTGAAGTCGGCGCTGCTGGGTCGCTTGGGCGGCTAGCTCGGCAACGATAATACCTCTTCTGTGATGTCGGAGCTGTTGTGCCGCTTTTGTGTTTAGCTTGGCAACGATGTCCTGTATTTGGGCTCCGCTGTTGTTGTTAGTTGTGTGTTAGGTCCCATGCTTTCTTCTGTCCGTTGGGTTTTAGCCGGTTCCCCATAATTAACCGTGCAGCTGTATGGTTTTCGGGCCTGATTTCCCTTATAAATTGGGTCGTTGTCTCTTGTCTGTACAGTTTCTCCCTCTCTTAATATAAAACCAGCAATGCTGGCTTAGGTTTCAAAAAAAAAAATTGCTCTATAAGTAAGACCGGTTCGGAAAAGCTGGTTGTTGCAACGCTGCTGAGCAGTATCTACAGTGCTACAGCAGCCAGCCAACAGCGGTCGTAGGAGCTTTTCAGCCAGTACAAAACAACTAGCTGCATTCAAAATAGTCCAGACCGCTGCAGCCGAACGGTTAGGATGTGCATCACAGCTGAGATTGACGTGGAAACAGGATACTAAACATGCCTTAATTCGAAGTTGTTCCATGTTCTACCAAACAAAATGTCTTATCATCCATCACATTCATATATATGAGCAAAGTTCTTGATCATGTCCTTTGGGACGAACAGAAAAGATTTTGCCTACAACTCAAGGTCGTAGGCAAAGAACTGTTTCTCATGCATCGTGACGCAAGCATATTAGCACTGTCTTTTCGCTGGGCCGGCTTGGAGCCCTGCATGATGCATCAATATTTTTCTTCCTCTGAACCAGCAGCAGCTCGCTTGCAGCACGGGCAAATCATACGTACAGATCACGTTCAGTTCGCCGAATAATAACCAAAACTAGAATACTAATGAGATCGACCCTTCTAGTAGTAGAAATGCAAAGTGCAAAAGCGCCAGGGAGAATACCATCCGACCAGAAAGACGCTTGAGAATCGACGTGCCATCGCAAGAAAACAAAAGCAGAGAACATATATAAACCGGGCGATCTCGATCTCGATCATCTGCAAATGCTTAACAAATAATAACAGTAGTAGCAATCCAAAGCCAACGCCCTGCAATTATATGTGCGCATATGTGGATCGCCCTTCCCTTTCCGGTCGCTGGGCTTTATCCGCCCTCGCCCATTTAACAATCCGGCGCGCGGGACACCTGTCGCCGGCTCGCCGCGCGACTAGCGCGCCGTGGCCGCGGGCGACAGCGACGCCGCGCGTAAACTAATCGGCCGCGGGAGCTTGCCCGAAATGGCAGCCATTGAACGCCGGAATAGTTTAGTCTCCCCGCGAGCGCGCCTCGCCAGAAAGCAACGAGCCGTACGTCGACGTAGCAGCGGACAGCGCGCGCGGATGGTGGGTGTGGGTGTGGGTCGTGGCGTGGTGTGCGACGGCGAACGTCCTGGCAGGGCCGTGTGGCGTGTGGCGAGAGAGAGGGACCGAATGCGTGAGCCAGGTGGGCGCGCGGGCTGGAGCAGCGCGTCGCATCGATCCCACTCGCCGTGACAGCTACGCCGGAGATAAAATAAACCGGCTGAATCGATCGCCCGGCCGTGGCTAAGCTAGCCGTGTAGGACCAAGCTACTTACGGGCTAGGCTACAGGGCTCTACGTGGAGGCGAGGGGGCTCTCCGGTCTTGCCGGCCAGCCGGCCAGGACGGCATCGTGAGGCTGTGACAAAGATGCCCTTTGCTCGGTCCCCGGTTAATTTAGTGAGGTCTAAAGAGAAGAGTAAAAGAACATCCCATTGCAACATTCTGGTGCCTCGACTGCTCTCCCGCCCTGATGTGATTTATTGATTAATTATACGGAGTAGTAAGAGTGCTGAGTCTTTTTAATCAGTGCAGGAATTAAATTCTACTGCAAGGTTATATGCAACGTGTTCCCCTGTTGCTCGTAAAAGAGATACGACCGACAGGGAGAATGACTGAATATGCAGGAAGTAGAGTGAAATTGGTTCTGCTTGCCTACCTTGGGCTAACTACTCGTAGTCGTAGCAAAACGAACACCATTACACCAATATTCATGCAAAAGTTTTCAAATCAACGCCTATTTGCAGAGATCAACACACGTGTTAATTAATTCGTTGGTCTTCCACTGCAAATCTGCAAGTCGACGGCTGTGGTCTCTCCTATGTCCTATCTAGGCTAGTTAGCTTTCACGGGTTTCCACAAAAGCAATGTGTAGCCAAGCGAGTTGGCAGTTAACGAAACATCTACTTCGATCTGATCCCTAGTTTAACAAACTGTTCAAACTTCAAAGCGTGTAAAAGGATTAGATTTGACAAAGGTGCATTAACCAGTGATCAGTATACCATTGTACATGCTGCGGCGGCGCCGTGCGTGATCACGCTCCGAGATAGCGTTACTGGTTTGGCGGCCTGCAACGACGACACGTCAATATATACCAGTAACCGCGTTTCCCCGCCTGACAAAACGGAGTTTTATACAATTC